GTAACCGTGATCTTGCTATCTGTCCATATTACACGCAAGATTTGGCTGATGTGTGACAAGTTTCAAGTTTAAATTTTCTCTACAGCATCAAGAGAAGTTCATAATTATAAGTAGTACGTCGTCCGTCAGTCTGTTCCTCCATGCGGTAGTTCGTTGGATACCGCTGTATAATCCACTTCCCATGGCAGGAAACAAAGGAGCGATAAGTTCGATCGCAGTATTTCAAAGGTAGTCACTTTTAGAATCTTCATAACTTGGTAGCATGACCTGGGCATAACTTGGTAACAGAAATCATTATTGGGAAAAGGATGGTTCCTAAGGTAGTCACTAAAACGTCTGTTTTTTTGAGGAGCGTTAAAGCGCTAGACTGGCTAACGTATTTCTGCAGTTCGGTATTATAAACCTATCTTGATGGCAATCGCATTGAATGTGTGTTAAACGATGCTTCACCTTGTCTGATTTCATGTTTGTTGATTTGACTTTGAAACGTTTGTATTTTTATTTAGAACAGATTGTCGTTGAAGGTACGACAGTTTTCGCAGACGTGGTTGAAGAGTTCAGCGATGTGCGCCATATAGCGCAACGTTTTGCTGAGTGGTACATTCGTTTCCCAAAACCTTACGTGCAGGCATTTGCCGGCCTGTGCTTGCCGAAGCTGCTGCTGCCGTTCGTCGAGCTGGAAATGCTCAGCTGGTCGCCTCTCGAGGTACCTTCTCATATACTATCGGTGGTGGCTGGAGGAAAATAGGGAAAGAAAGTTTGTAACCGTTGGAATGTTGGTCTTCCTTAAACTTTCATGATGGTTCCTTTCTTTTCATAAAGTAAGTGGCACGGCGCAGATTTTCATTTCAATGCCATCAGCCAAGAGTGTCTTATTTTACGAGCCTACAACTATTGGCAAGCGTAAAGTGCAGTTTCCCGTTTCCGTCCCTCAGATTGGTACTCGTTTATCAACCTAGAAGGAAGAACGGCGAGTAACCCAAATGGTTGGACTAGAACGCAGAATCTCTCGGTTATGAGCCTGACGTTCTGCCATCTGAGCAACTCGAGTCTGGTGCTGAAGACCCCTTCGCCATACCGATTTTCCTATGTTCGTAGTTGTACTTTTACAGGCGCGTACTTTGCGTAGGCTGACGCTCGAGACTTAGAGTCGTTCTACTGGTTCGATACACTGCTGACCTACGCATATTGTCCGGATGACGACCCGCACGATGCTGAATTCGAACCGGAGATTTACAACCTGATTCCTCTCGTCGTAGAAAAATTTGTTTGCGTCAGAGTGACAGGTAAAGTGACGAGGTTGAACGAAAGGAGCTGCTCTGAACCGTCTATGTCGGCGCTCTTTCGTCACTGGATACTGTAAACTGCTGCCGTTTTGGTTTTAGAACTAATGCAGAGAGTCTGGGACCCGACGTCTAGCAGCCAAACGCAGCGGCTTGCCAGATTTCTGCGCAATTTAGTTTTGGACTATCCCTGCGTTAATGTTCAGGGTAAGCCAACTCAGGCGCTTCTCACCGTCTTACATTCTCGTCTGAAAAGTTCGCTTGATGAGGATTTATTTATGCCTATTTATTCGAAAGAGTAAGCGTGTTACGACTTTTATCACTTTTGACTTGTACTTCGTTTGATGTTCGTTTTTAGTCACTGTTCTTTAGCTTGTATTTTTAACAGTTGTTTTGATTCTGATCTTTCAGTGTGATTGAGCGTGTTTCGCGGTTCATTGTATTTTTTGCAAGGGAGGTCTATGTCAAGGTGACCGACAGCCCCAAAGTTTCACGCGCGTTCCTGAACATCTGCTTTTTCTTTGTCTTTCTGAAATTTATTTGAATTCTAAGATAGACTTCTTGAAATTTTGAGGGAAATTTCAGAATGTGTCTAAACTTATGGATCCCAAGCGTTTGATTGTCATCAAAATTTCGCATTCTGAATGAGACTTTGTTATATATTCAGAAATACGCTGTCCGTTCGGCTCCTTGAGCAGTCCTTGTTTTGAGGCCCGTGTTGCAGAGCTCTACCATACCTACATAGCTGAGATTTGTTCGTTCTGCCTATATTCGATCTTCATCTTGTCTCATTTGCCTTTTCTTTCTAAAGCAGGTTTTCTGCACTAAAATTCTTCTCACACTCGACGTTTTTTAGCTTAACTTTGTGCAAATGGTAACTTATGCTTCTCCTAATTTTCACCTCTAAATATTAAAGTCCGGAAATGTAGAGAAACGAAAAGCAAGGTGGCTGGGCTTGAAAGTAGTCAAGATGTGCAGTCGAACCGCGCAGGCCTTTTTCCTGAAAGCATGAAGAACCGCTCTGTTTGCGCAGCTTACATAAATCAGTAAAGTATGCACATGCACATGACAAGTGATATGGAGGAACTACTTTCCGATACCGTCTACAAACAGTAAATTCAAAATGAAAAATGAAATCAGTATGTATGTTTTTTTAATGTTCGCTACCGTTTCACTACTGTACTTTGAAATGGAATGTCTTCGATCAGTAAGTAATGAATGGTCCAAGGCACCGTAAAGTACGAAAACAGTAAGTACAATGGACAGCCAGTAGGTAAACAGTGATTCTCTATCGGCACATTCTCGATTGAATGGTGTAGTGTGACAGAAAAATACACCTTTGCCGGTTAGAATCGCTTTTGATTGTCTTCGATTGTCAATTTTCACGGCCTATTACCAGCAAAAATTTAGCAGTGCGAAGCCATCTCTTTCTATCCTTTCTCCTGACAACGTATTTTGTCGAATGCTTTGATACAGTAATGTTGCGTAGGTAACAGTAACATGAACTGGTGAATTGGGCACCCGAAAGTTCACGCGTTGAAATGGTCAAATATGTCTGAAACCTTGAACAGTGTAGAGTAAGAGGTAGCACACAAAAACGGGTCGAAAATGCCAGTCCTCATAATCAGAGTACGCTACTGGGCACGTCGTTTTAGCTGGTACAGTCAAATTTTATGAAAGTACTTTTACATCATTTAATGCTAAGCGAACCCTGTTCTTCTTTGACAAATTAAAATTTTTGTTTTATCACATTTATTGATTTTTCTCAACAGGATTTTTGCTAGAATATGCCTTCTGGTTGATTTTCTTTGCTTCGATAGGGACTCTGATTAAGACTTAGAGATTCTTTCTTTTTTTGCACTAAGGCGTTTTTCGATTTTCATGGTCCTCCCTTATATCCTCGTTTATTTTGCACTATATCAGATGTCGGATTAGTTTTGCGCTGCGTCGTTTCTGTAACGGTTTAGTTTTTGAACCGTGCTAGTTTAAAAGCCTACGTGAATTTTCCTGCGACTTGGCATTTAAGTGGGATTTGCCGGATATTTGTATTATCAAAAATTTCTGTAAAACGTTTCGTTTCGAATTTTTGTGTTACACATTAACGGCACACATCTTCGCATTAGCGTTGACGTTCCATCGTTTCAGAGCTCTTGAAAATAGAAATACCGGGGCTGCCGCGTTTCTGGATCGCCAGTTTTGGTTTGCTGTGAAAGTAAGAGCCGCAGAGAGGAAGACAAACGGCTGCTGCCGGTAGTGTTGGTCGAATCATCGTTATACATCCATCTCTTTCAGTGCTTAAAGAACGTATTTTGTTGGCAAGAAATACTTTCCGCCAAAGCCTTGCAGGATCTGGCGATCGACAGCATCCTGAATCGTCATCTCGTTCTCGGCCTTCAGTGCAGCCTCATTTCCGACGCGAATATTTTGCTTAAGGCAAAATACGTAAGTATTTGCGTGTTTGTTTAATTAGGTTTTCGTTCTTCGTTTAACCTTCTAATGTGGTAATCGATCGTTACCCATACATTCATATCGATGGGGGCAGATTCAACCTTAATAACGAAAGCGGATGGTAATGTAGAGAAAATGACAAACAGTGCAGTTATCACTATCAAAGTATCTTAGTACAGGAGAGTACCATAATTGTCACGGTCTAACTGGCACTTGCTACTATCACTGCTACTTAAAGTTAATAGAAATAAAACAGTGCGTGTACGAAGAAGAAGCAGCGCGAAACGATTATCGCAGTTAGGGCATATGAGGATATTATTGTTTGACAGTTTAAGACTGTTTGAAAATTCGAAAAGAGGTTCTCACAACAGATCAGCGGTAAACTCAGTTCGTGCACGTATTGTGTTTATGACCTATCGAAACTTATAGTCGAAGCCGTAATAATCATTGCCAGAAGCCTTTTAGCAGAGGGTGAATTCTGCTGCTATGGATATTACTAGTTACGAGGAAACGTCCTGATCGACTACAAACTAGAATGCTCTGAGCTAAGTCGTTTAGTCTTGAACAGAACAGGTAAAATCTCTCAGGGCGTGTAAATCGTGTGCAAGAAGGGCAGCGAAGGCAGTAGTTGATGCATCTGTGCATAAAGGCATGACGCATGCTAATATGTATTTTTTCCATGCCAATATGTTTTTTATTGGTATGTTTGGAGTGGAAGTTTCAAGTGACTTTTATCTGACCAGCCTTTCCTAATAAATAGTCTGCATATCAACTCAGCTATTCGAATTTCTTGCAGTAAATCGCGACACGGAAGATTTTGCACACTGGCGACCTAACTTACACAAGTTCGATTATTAAGTCATCTCGATTAGTGTATTCATTTAATGTGGACAGCGATATGGTTTGCGTTGAATTCACGCAACGGTGATTAACTTTGACGCTGGCAAGCTAAATGTAACCACTTAGGCTAAATGACCTATTTGCACCAGTTCATACTTGTATTGCTTGGTTACCTTTCTGGCGCAGAAATCAGCTAGCATTTAGTTTAAGTTTTTCAGCGCCCAGTTGTCGTGGCTATGCGTTTAATTTCATGTACTGAGAATTATTCTTTTGGGCTCAGGTCTTACTGTCACGTAGTTAACAAATGCCTTATATACACAGTATTAGTTGTCGTTCCCCTCTGTTTTGTTACTGCGTTTGTGTGGTCATTTCCTTGATCCGTATGCATCAACAAAACATTTCTGATTTATGATGTCCGATGTATTCGCAGCGTTACTTGGTTTATTACTAATCCGTATAAAAAGAAAAGGTGCAGTAGTTATTCTATTCTCTTTCGGAATCCCTGACATTATTTTTTAAGCTGACTGACATGTATGGTCGAGACTTGAAAAAATTTCTTAAACGATTATAGAGCCAGTAAGCGATTGATCATGTCCTAGTCCTGAACGATTCCCTCATGTACATTTCCCATTTAACTTCTGTATTTACAGATATATGCAATTTAAATCCTGTCGAAGGTTGTTCTTACTGACATGTGCTTGTAGATGCATGATAAATTGAGTTTAGGCTATCAGTAATATCTGGATTGTCATTAATTTGCCAAAGTGCGACATCCTCTAGACTTGGTTCAGTTCATTTCCTGTCCTTAGCCGTCACTTTATATATGACGTGCGGCCGTTGATCTTGAAAAAATTAGTTGATGTATCATTCATCGCCGTTCTTTCAAAAGAGTAGCAAAAATAGAAAACCATAATCTGACTTATTTCCAGAAATTTCCCCAAAAGTTTTATTTGCTTCGATGGAAGTACGTCGTTTATTTTTTGTGCTGTTGGCACTCTATGAAACAAACCGTTTTCTGCTATTTTCAGTACATGTACCAAGTTAGGAATCAAATTCTTCATCTTTTGTTTCTACTCTAATACATTTTTGCATTTAACGTTTCTAAGGACATTTTGGTTAAAAATAGATTTTAGAAGTCACTATTTGGCTCAAGAATCACATTGCATTCTTTGAGAATTCGTGCTAGTGTCCGTCATAAACAATGTATACGTGTTAGAATGATGATACTTTGATATATTAATTATTTGCTTGATTGGAGGAATGTTGCTAAAATGTTTTAGATTTGCAACTTGCTCCCAGCTAGTTGGTTCGAGGGTCTTACCGGCGAAAGCACCATACCGCAGCTGGAACCAATGTGCAAAGCTCTTTTGCGAATTGGTGATGGACTTATTGCACAGCCCTCGTTGGATCGAAATGAAACGAGGTAGCTTAGGGAGCGGAGGCAATATCGATGCTAATTCGAATGGCTATACTGGTCGTTTAGGGAATACGGGAAGGAAGTTTGCAGGTTGTTGACCAGACTTCATGCGCTTAAGTACGCTCGCTTGTTCGCTTCAGAAAATAAGCTGAAACAGTGACTCTTCCTTGATAACGTATCACTGATCGTACTGTACAGAAAACAATTCGTCCGAATAAACCTTTCCTCGCTGACTTGTTGTTCTGTGTATTATTATGTTTGTCGTACGACGACGATGTCTGTCGACTGATGGTTTTCACTTTTGCTTGACTTCGAATACGAATATCTGAACAGGT